ATTGCTCTGCCGATTTCTGGTTAACCCATGATACAGTCTAAACAGAGCTCCCCACATAGATCTCTACACTGTATGAATTCGGCTGCAACTTCACCTACTTTTAGTGATTGCATGTGACTGCATACAATAAGTCACACATGTAACACTGCCCACTCGATGCCTTAATTAAGCTGCTTTATTCTGCATCTATATTTAGTTCACAGCAGCACAGTCTGCTCTATTGTCTGGTTAAACGCAGAGCCAAGTCCATTTTTTTTAGGTTATAATACTTTAGGTAAAGAAGGCGATCCTATAAAGATAATGCCAAGCAAAGAACAGGCTGAAGGGCAGGGTTTCCTAGGATTGTGTTAGTGAAAGGGTAATGACTGACTGATCGGAGTTCACCCAAGCAAATAAAACAGTGCGAAGGTCATTTCAGTTGAAGCAAGAAAAAAAAGAAAAAGAGCAGAGCCTTTATTTAGCTTCAGATGCTAAATGATGGCCCTGCATGGCTGCTGTGTTTATTTGGGTTTCTCTGCAGCAGAAATAAGATTGTGTTGGAAGAGCGACCGGTGGTGGAAGATGGAGCAGCATGAATAATCGGATCAAGCTATTTTTTTTCCCACATTCGAGTAGGAGTGCAGGAAGAGGTAGAGGAAAAAAAGAGCGCAGGTGGGAGGCATCTGTACTGATTATTGGTGGTTATTGGCCACCTGCGCTGTCTGAGAGCACGAAATGGGGTTATTAAGCTGACAGCTGTCAAAGCTGCTTTCACCGCACCAGACAGAGTCTGAAACTTAACCAAGTGTTTACTGTTGAGGCTCAGGAGGAGGAGGACCTGCAGCCTGCAGTCCTGGTTCTCTCTCTGTGCCGACACAGAACTGCAACTTCAAGCATGAATGCTGTTCATTTTTATTGATTTCCTAACTGGATTTCATGGTCACTTTATCCTAGATATTAAAGCAGGGTTCCTACAGCATAAGGCAAGTTAAATTCAAGACTTTTTAAGACTTTTTAATGCCACTTGAAATAAAAATTTAAGACCAAATTCACATGAAACACCAGAAAAACGCACCTGCGACAACTTAACCCAAAGGTTTATTTTAACATAAACCACTGCACTAATGTTTCAAATAAAAAAAAAAGCTTCCCACACAGGAAGAAAGCTAAAAACACAAATGACAGATATATTTTAACAATTATTTGACTGAATTCACAAACTTTGTTTTAGCAGGGAACAAATTAATTGCATTAACTACAGTATAGAGACTCTAA